GATTAGATTAGATTAGATTAGATTAGATTAGATTAGATTAGATTCAATTAGATTAGATTAGATTAGACCTTTATTGTAATTGTACTGTATTATGCCTTATTATGAGTATAAGTGTTTGCTTTTGTTCCTATGAGCTAAATTTGAACCTGCAAACACATGCTTTTACCTCCTTTCTTTCTGATAATTGAAAAAAAATACAGTATTATACCATATATTATATTACTACATACATGTAAGTAAAATATCCTAGTTCAGTTTTTCCAACGGTGAAAAATGAGTATTTTAGAACGTGTTTAATCCTACCTGCTGCACTCCACGGTGACCAGCAAAGTTCTGCTTTCTGTCTCTGAACTCTTCTAGTTTGGTTTCTGTTGGGTCATGCTTAAGAGGAAATACAGTTTCTTCACTCTGTTCGATTCATATCTGATCAAGGTTCTGGTATCAGCTGGACATAAATGGTCAAACATCTTTGTAACTTTTCATTAAAGGAAGCAAAACTCTAAAGACACTGAAATAACTTGAAACTGATTAAAAAAGTCAACTCATTAAAATCAGTCATTACTGGATTTGTTTCAACAGATTCCTAAAAAAACTAAACAATGACAATTTTTGGAGAATAATATTTTGAAGAACAATTGTCAAGTAGGCTAATTACCCAGGATGATGATTTAATAAAGCAAAATAAAGAAATTACATCTCCGCTCTGCAGCAGCAGCTCTGTCCGATGTCTGATCACCAACATTTAATCATTTGTTCTTTGTGACCATTTCTGAACATTTCATGAAAATCCCATCATAACTCTTGGAGGAATCTTGTCCACAGACAAACAAACCAACTCTACTGAAAACAGTACCTCATTAGTGGAGGAAAACATTTATTGAAGTAATTTTTATACATTTAATTATTTCGGAATGGAACTCAGCCGTTGCTGTTGGTGCTCAGCTCCCACATCTTCATCCTGAGACAAATAATATGCTGTGTCCAAAACGGTGGGCTGGGTCCTCTGAAGGCCGAATTTGTCGGCCGCATTCGTCACAGCGCCGCGACAAAGGCCGTCCAAAACCGAAGACTCCTCCGATGCGGTGTCATCATCATCATCATCATCATCATCATCATCATCATTAATCCAAAATTCTTAAATATATTCACGGTGTTCACTGCCTGTATGTGGGTGATCATCAAGTCATCAGACATGTCAGTCCATTATTGTTACAGGTTATTTCATTGGTGTAAATAGAAAAGAGAATGGGTGACAGAACACAGCCTTGTGGGATCTCAGTATTCAAACCAATGCTGCCAAATTCAAAACCTTCGACCTTAAAGGTGCAGTATGTAACTTTTCTAAAAATATATTTTTAACATATTTGTTCACTCTGTCACTATCTCCTGACAGATTGATATTAGACAGGTAAGCTATGGAGGAAAAAA